TGACGATCCGAATTATTTGATCAATTTGAATCAAAATTTCAGATTTTAAGAATAATAATAATAATAATTTTCATCAGGAAAGAATTCATCATGAGGTTTTTATACTAGGCTAATGTTATGTTCCTGAAATATACAGTAATATAATTTGCTTTTATATTATATACGATCCATAAGATATAAATTATAGTTTAAAGATTTATTTAAGACAAAATTTTAGAAAAAAATTATTTTTACGTTTAAAATATTTAAATATTTACCAACGCATAAAAATCATGAATCTTTTATAAAGTTCGATTTTTATTAAATAACTTTAGCGTCATTATTACTTAAATATTCTTTAAAACCTTCTGCTTAAAATACAAATTGTTTATAAAATATAAACGAAAGAACTGAATGCAACAATAGTTTAAAAAATCAACGTTATATAATAAAACTTAATTAATTTCTTAATAAAATCGATGTATTTTTTTAATAACCTTAATCTTCATATTATTATTTATATTCCAATTACTGCAAGAAGACTTCGAATAACCGTCTCTTTCATGACTTTTTCAAAAAAAAATGACAAATTGTTATGGGAAAACAATTTTTTTAGGCTTTTCAAAAAAAAAATAAACTGTCACATTATTCTTTAAGTTATTGCGTGTGCAATATTAAGTTTTCAGTATTACTATAATATGCTACAATTTATTGAATTTTTAAGTTTCGGATTTTTTAATGGGAAGAATTTCAAGCCGTGTTATTCAATTTAGAGAAATACAGCCTCAAAAGTTAAAGGCAAAATTATTAAATATTATATACAAGTTAATTTTTTGCATAAACGAAATTAATTATTAAAAATAACTGGTTTTGTTATCGTCAAAAAATTCTACAAATGTCATTGATTGGATATTTCGCATTGGTATTATCATAAATTGAACTAAATAATAACTATGATCGGTCACTTAGATTCTGTAGTAATTTGTAATAATTAGCGTAATACGAAATTGGAAATATTGCGTCATACAAACAGAATTCATTTATTAGTTATATTGCTGTTTGAAAGTCGAAAAATATTAATATTTTTCATTTCTTGGAGTATGCTAAAAATAATTTTCTGGATCTTTAGGACAGAAAAAACTGCATAATTCAGTCATATTCGAAGCGGTAAAATAACTTGATCTTTTATTCCATCGGTATTAAGAATACACCGGTGGAATTATTCATTGCTTACTTTAATAAGTATTAGTAAGAAATTATATCTTTGAGATTCTGTATATTTATTCATTTCGGAGGTCTCTTTTTTTCTTTGAGTTTAAATTTAAATAAGTTACAATTAATAAGTAATAAATCAATTTTAATAACGATCATCTGCATGTAGATCATTATCTACACGGATCTTGGTTTCCGACTTATCAATTAATGTGTAAATCATAAATCATAAATAGATTTTATAGCAACCGCACAAGTTAAATATATTACAATAAAGAATTTTTGTGATAAACAATTCGTTACGGTATCGTCCCCGAACGTATTAAAGTAAATTCTTGCATCGTGTTTATAAGTCCGCACGATAAACGTGTTTCAAAAAAAGATTATAAATATGTTGCGAAGCCACTCTTTTTCCCTTCGTTCATCACTTTTCATCACTGTTCATCACTCAAAAGAATAAGGATAGATTATATTTATCTCTCTGCATTTTTTACTTTTAACAAATTGTAAGTTTTAATATATTTAAATTTATGGCCCAAGCTCTATGATCTTAACACTTATATTTCATAGAGATTCAAATAAGAAACCATTCTGTTTCACACGGTCCAGAAAAGACGTCATTTGATTTTGCCCATTTTAAATTTTGAAACGTCCTCACATCTCTATTCAATGACTTCATTTCTGGAGAGCCTCTGGGAATTTTTTTTGACTAAAATTAAGACCTTATTACATTTAATCTAATAACATTAAAAACTAAAATGCAATAAAAAACAAAATTTGGTTAAAAAATTCCCAGAGCCTGATATTCCTAACAATCTTCTCATCCCTAAATTAAGTAGGAATCGGTTAGATTTTTTTTTTAAAAAAAAAAAAAGAAAAAAAAGAAAGTGTGTAAGAAATGACGCGTTTTTATTGGTTTCCGTGTATTAAATTTTTTACACTGTTCATCGGTCTTGTTTGTACCGCACAAAAAGATCTGCATCAATCAATAGTCTTCTTAATCTCAAAGCGTTTTTTATTACACGGAAAGCGGTGCTTCTTGAATTTTTTTTTTTTGTTATTTCTTGAGACTTTTTTTTTTAAGATTAAAATTACTCGAATCTTTTTAACTTGATAAAGAAAGCACAGAATCTGATATGATCTCAATTCTGTTAAAATTTCCAGAATCTGAATTTCCTTGAAAACAATATGGGCCGTTTGCTATCACAAACAGGTTTCAAGATATTATAAGTAAATTAAATGATCCTAAGAAACAACCCTCCCATTTCTCATTAAAACGTTTTGTCATACATACTGAAATGTCCTTAATTTTTATAGACACATGCCCTGTCAACAAATTAGAGATCCTGATATTTTGGATTTATCCTTGGAATTTTTAGGAGAAACAGAAAATGATTCTAACTCTGGTTTTGGAAAATGCCCAGATTATGGAAAGGAAAGAGTCAGTGATGGATGGTGTAAAGATTGTGTTCCTTTAAAGAGAATTTTAGATATTGGACAAGCGAAAATCTTAATCTTGATAATTTAATTAAATATACTCAATTGAATGCAAATGGAAGTGTAGATTATTTAGAATATATAGATTTTAAACAATTTGATCTTATAGAAATCCAAATAAAGACGATGCCTTTAGCACAATGTATTCAGCGATTTGGATGGAAGGTCCTCGATGGATTTGGGTTGAAATGGCTGACCAATGGATACGTAACGGGCCCATAAAGGTCGCACTTAAAAGATTTAATAACTCGCAAAACTTAAGCGCAGACTATTTTAATCAAGTCAGTATTATTTTATTTATTACTATTTTATTCGTAAATGTTTAATAACAAATTTGATAATTTTTAATGAAGATTTATAAATATCAACGTTGTTTACATTGTGGAAGTGTTGCGGATTTGTTTGGTATAACTAAGGATCATACTTTAAATTACATGTTTGTCATGAAATTTTATGAGCATAGAGATTTATATTCATTTCTTGA